ACACACACACACACACACACACACACACACACACACACACACACAACCACTCACAGTGGGGCAGGTGGTCATGTGGCCCAGCAGGGCAGGGACTGGGTCAGCTCAGGTTCCCATGTCTCTGAAGGACAAGTGACTGGGCCTGCCTTTCTTCACCTAGAAGAATGCCTTCTCCAAACACTTGTTTTCTGCTTCCTGGACGTGCCAGGGCCATGCTGGATGGGAAGAGAGCGGAGTGGGGGGGAGGGGGAGGAAGGAGGGGGAGGAAGGAGGGGGAGGAGCCTGCGTCCAGCCCCCGGGCCTCTGTTGGGTGTTTTCCTTCCGCCCTCCCCACCCAGAGGGCAGCTGCCTGCTGGGAAACTGTGGCCGCCCAGCCAGGGAGCATCCCCAAGCCCAGGATTCAGATGTGGGGCAGGAGGGGAGCCGAGCAAGGCTCTGGGAGGAGTCTCCAAGTGAGTCAGCGGCAGACCTGTCAAGGCCTTGTACCAGAGCAGGGGTTTTGCAGCAGGACTCCGTGGCCAGCCCTGGGGGCATCCAGGGAGGAGAAAGGGTGGGAGAAAGGGGGTCTCTAGTCCAAGTTGGCAGAGGCAGCTCTGCCTTTGGTCTGTTGTTCGGGAAAGGTCTGTGGGCCAGGGTCTTGAGGGCTCTTCCGGCTTCGGGGCTCTGTGTCTCAGACGCTTCCCTAGAATGGCAGGCCTGTCCCCACAGCCCACGGCGGGGGGGGGGGGGGGGGGGTGTCACATCTCTTGACAGGCAGGGCTGAGACCGGCTGGGGGTGGGGAATGCCACCAGCACCCCGCTCTAGCCTCAGGCCTGACCCCCAGCAGGCCCGGGGCACAGAGACCCACCTCCCAGATACCTCAGGAAGGCGACAGAAAGACGAGGGGTGTGGCTGGGAGATCTCCGATAGAAGCCACTTCCGGCCAGGCCTGGCTAAGTCCTTCAGCCTATGCTGTATCACTGGATCCTCACAGCCACTCCAGTAGGTAGGTGATGCTGTCACCCCATGTGACAGACGAGGGCTCAGCAACCCGAAGGTCATGGGGTTAATATGGGGTGGGCCAAGATCTGCCCCCCGAGAGCTGGCTAGAAGCGTCTGTGTGCTTACCAGAACCCCAGGTCCCCGGGGCTGGGCCCGGAGCGCTGGGCTGGCCAGTCCTCTACAAAGCCCTTGACAAGGTTTCTGAGGGGGCTGGGCTTGGGTTCCCCAGCGATGCACACCCAGGGATGCACACCCCCACAGTCCCAGGCAGCTTCTGTGAGGGTCCCCAGGGTGCAGGAACCAGGGGGAAGACAGTGTGGGACAGGGAGAGCAAGGACACAGGGGAAGGGAGAGAGAGCTGGTGGGGTGGGGGAGGGCAGAGAGAGCCCGGAGAAACAGACCGAAAGAGCAAGAGAGGCGTGGCTGGAGAAACAGAGAAGAGGGCCGGGAGAGCTGACGGCAGGAAGGAGGGCAGGCGGGAGGGAGGCAGGGGGGAGGAGGGGGGGAGGGCCGACACAGCCAGAAAGGACAGAGGGGAAGAAGGGAAGCAGGGGGGAGGGAGCCGTTGTGGGGAATAACCCAGAAGCAAGGGGCAGGGATGGAGAAGGCAAGAGCAAGAAGCAGAAAAACAGAAAGGGAGCCGGGGTCAGGGAGGGAGAGGGCCCTGGGAAACCGAGAGGCAGAGGGAACGCACACCCGCCCACCGAACATTAAATACCTAACAGGAGATGACAAATCAAATGGGAATTACTGCGGTAAAAACATAATTAGAAACTTGATTGAAGTTAAACAGAATTTACATAACACTGCAAATTAACTTTACACGGAAACTATTCACTGGGAAGGCAATGAAAAGGCATTTCATTAGTAATCTATATTTAAACAATAGGCACAATGGAGCCTTCTGATGAGGAACTTGGTGCCTTCAACCAGAGCGAGTGCCAAAGGCTGCTGGAGGACAGAAGGCAGTGGGCGCTCCAAGAGGAAGTGGGCAGGGTCCAGGACCTCATCCCTGCACCTGCTAATGAGGGCTGGGGCTGGTTGGACGCAGGGGGCCAGAGCAGATTCTCGAATAGGTTCTGCCCTTGGCTTGCTGTGTGGCCCCGGGCAAGTATCTCACCTTCTCTGGGCCTCTGTTTCCTCAGCTGCAAAATGAGGAACTTGACGAGGAGGCTTATATCAGAGTGCCTGCAAGTGGGGATATTGTAGGAGAGCCCGGGAGATGGTGGAGGGCAGAGGTAAGAGTCTGGGCTTGGGCTTGGGATTCAGATGGACTCGGTTCAGAGCTCTGCCCTGCCACTCAGTAACTGTGGCATCACACAAACTTCCTCCTCTCTGGCCCAACTTTACCCATCCGGTTCAGTGGAGATAAGTCCACTCCCACCTGACAATACCCAGGCAGGGGAAGGATTTAGGGAGAGATTGGGTGGGGCAGGCTTAAAGAACAAGTGAGTCTGAAGGCACAGGATTACTTGTGCCATCCGCCCAGCACACTAATTAGATTACCCACCGCCTCCTGCCCCAGAGCTGTGCATCATCAGAGCGGCTTCCCATGGCTCCCCAGTCCCCAGTGCAGAGTCAGAGGCGCATCTCCTAGAGGGACTGGGGGGCCACCAAGTCCCTGCCCAGCTCCATCCTATTCTCAGCGGGGAGAAGTCTCCCAAGCCTTGGCCACATCCCAGTCCTACGAGGCTGTGCGCTTAGGCGGATGTGCTGGACTGTGGCCCCCAGAGCCCCCCAGCCGGCTGCATGCTCACCCTACCTCCTGTCCCACTCATGTGTCCCACTCATGTGCCCCGATGCCCACCTGCCCTGCCCCCGGGCAGCGGCTCCGCTCTGCAGCCTTCCCTGACAGAGCCGTGGGCATCTCTCCGCTGAGAGCTGAGGGCTGAGTGTGAAGCCCCACAGACTCACAAAGGAGGATGCCTACCCCCCACCAAACTCGCACACAATTGCCCACCAAAGGCAGTGAGCTCCTCTGCTCTAACTGGTGAGCGTGAGCGGGCAGCTCTGACACACACTCATAGTCCAGGAAGTTTCTACAGTTTCTTTTAAGATAAAGGATCCAGCAGTGCTTAGAGATTCAATAGGAAGCTGCTGGGTGCCCTTCCCCCTGCAGGCAGCTCAGAGCTGCCGCCTTGAGCCCTGTGTTTTCAGACAAGTGCTCCAGGCAAGGGGGAGGTCTCCTGAGCCCAAGAACCTCACAGAGGAGGTGGGAGGTCAGGACAGGTGGAAACTTCTTAAAAGAAAGTGCAAATTGTGCAGACATCAGGGCAAGAGACTCCGCTGAGACCAGAGAGCGCCGGCCCAGGTGACACAGAGGTCCCTGGACATGGGCTCACGCTCAGCCCAGACACCCACAGGCCCTGGCCCCTATGTTGCCGGGTATGGAGGGGAAGCTGCTCTGGTTTCTTCTCCCTCTCTTCCACCCCTCTCCAAATATGGCTCATTTTGAGGCCTCTGAGCCTTTCCTATGCTGTTCCCCCTGCCTGGAGTGTCCTTTCCCTGCTCTGCCAGCAAAATTCTCCTCGTCCGTTGAGAGCCTGCTCTCTCAGTCCTCCTGCACCTTCTCTGTCTCCTTTGCTGCCCCCACCCTGTCTTCCCTCCCTGCAAGGGCTGGATGCCCATGATTCAGACTCAGTTCTGATCGGCTCCCTCTCCATTCCCTCCCGACGTGACCTCATCAGCCTCATGGCTTGCAACCGCATCGGTGCACAACAGCTCCCACATTTCTATCTCCAGTCAGGCCCTCTCTGCCTCCCAGACTCTGACACCCAACTGCCGGCTCAAGCTTTCCACTTGGGTGTCTCAAAGGCATCTCCAAGTTCATGTGTCTAAGACATACTCCTCAGCTTCCTTTGGCCCTCCCCCACCATCATTCCTGGCCGATTAAATGACCACCTCTGTTCTACCAGTGGCTCCTGTCCTAAACCCGAGAGCCTCCCTTGACTGCCCCTGTCTTCTCTCCTCTGGCACCTCTAATCCACACGCACGCCTGTCTGCAAGGTCTCTGGAGTCATTCAGACTCCCATGGTCCCCCGGCGCTTCCCCTGCTGGCCCTAGACCCAGGCGCCACCACTTTACCTGGGTCCCGGCCACCTCCCTGCTCCACTCTTGCCTGCCTCCATGAGTGGGTCCCCTAGGATCACTCTGATTTCCCCGCCCCTCACTTCGCTGCAGCCACATGGCGTCCCTGATCCTTCCTTGAACGTGCCAAGCACCCGTCTCACTCCCTCTTTCCATTTATGTCTCTGCTCAAATGCTGCCTTGTCAGAGGTCTTTTGTGACCATCCTTTGTCCGAGGATGTCCACTTCATCCCACCCTGCAGACTCTGTTCCTTTACTCAGCTAACTTCCCCTCTTAGAAATCGGCATCACCTGACATATTATATGTCACATTTTAGGTATTTACTGTCCATGCCTCTTCATGGGAAGGTAAACACCATTTTATTTCCTGCTGGGTCTCCAAAACATCAAGCAGGTCTCTGCACGGAGACTTTCTTAATGAACATTTGGGATATGAACAAATGAACGATGCCACTTCCTCCGGGAAGCCTTCCCTGAATGCCTGCCTGCAGAACCTGCACATGGCCTCTCCTCCTCCCTTCCCCGTGTAATCACAGACATGACACAAGCCTTGAGCACCGAACTTAGGGAGTTGGGCCTGCCTCCGTTGCAAACTGCAGCATCTCAGGGCAAGGCTGGATCTGATACATCGTCCAAACCTAGCCCTTCGTGCAGGCCTGGCTTGGTATAAGAGTCAGTGAGTGTCGGATGTGTGAGTTAATGACTAAATGGATGGCTGGAAGGATAGGTGGATGAACAGAGAGTAGATGGATGGATAGAGGAGGGATGTAAGGATGGTTTGGTGGGAGGATGGATGGATGGAAAGACTGCTACGAGAGAGGGTGGATGACGGGTGTACGGATGGATAGAGGGACGGGTCCCACCACGGTCACACAATAAACACTGGGGGTTGCTTGGGCTCAACAGCCAGACTTCTATGGGGTGAGTGGGCCAGACCAGAGCAGTGTAGTGAGAGTCAAAGTATAGAAACGGGTAACAGCAGACAGGCTAGAGCTGAGCTTCTATGGTGCGAGCAGAGCTTGCTGTGTGACCCCTGGCAGGACTGTTCACTTCCCTGTGCCTTGGTCTTGCAGTGTAAAAATGCAGATAATCACTCCTGCCCAGAGCGATCAGGGAAATCGCTTTGAAGTTTCAAATACTGCCACAAAGGACACCACGGCCACATTTCCAGCGACTCACATGTCCGGGCAGTTCTGCCTTGGAAAACCCTCTCTTCCCAAGCCCCGTCTGGCCCTGCTGACTGTGGCCTTAATGCTCCATCCACAAGGGCTAGGACCCCCGGCCATGCCCACGGAGTTCAAACGGAACCAGGCTGCTAAGACAGATGACCTCCAAATAACAATCAGGCCCAACTGATTCATGGAATCCTCAGGAACTGGAGTAAACCCATTTTCGAGACGAACAAACTGAAACCCAGCGGCATTTTGTACCAGACAGACGCAAGGAGTTACAGAAGCCCCGCAGCCGGGGTCAAGGGCTGGGTGTGGAGACCGATGACCCTCAGCTCGGCCAGCCCCACGGCGACCTGGCTGCCCGGCCACGCCCCTGGCCAGGTAGGTGAAGGTGGCCGTGTAGCATGCACGCAGCAGGGGTCTGCCGTTACCTTTCTAGGTCTGGTAGCTGCGTGATGGAACTGCGGCTCTCTTCCTCACACCCCTCACAGCATTGGTCTGACACCGACCGGCTCCTCCTCCTCCTCGTCCTGGGTACGCAGGGACAGAGATGGGACACGTGTGAACAGCCAGGGACACAGACGGCAGTCCGCTCCCTGCCCCCACCTCGGTCCCCCCACGGCCAGGCCAATCTCAGCGGCCTCTTGGGCCACCGACGCACATCCCGGGATGCCTGAGTGATCCGGGGCCTTGTCTCCCCCACACTGCGGCACTGCCACACACCAGCCAACCCCTCCTAGTGGAAATCTTTAAGACTAAAAAACATATTTAAGTTTTGTTTCTTCTGGGGCTCAGGGGCTTTGTGTCGTTGTCTTTTTCTTCCTGGTGAGAAAAGCAGAAAGCCATGGCCTTCCTGTGCGGCCCCCAGGCAGGGTGACGGGGAGAAGCTGTCGGGGTATTTTTAGCCGGCTACAGGCCCCCACAGCGTCTCCTCTCCCCTGTGCCTGGCTCCGGAGAATTATCTTACAGGGCCGGCCGGCAGCCACTTCTAAAGCCACTCTCTGACCCCTGCCTGAATTCCTTCCTCATTATGAACTGCTCACCAGATCTCTGACCAACACTTGGGGCCATTTTATGTGTGCCCACCTCTTCAGAAAACCAGCTCACTCCCTGCCCTTTGTGATTCTGGGTCCCAGCTGAGTCCTACCTGGACAGAGGTTTAATTAACATATATATTTTTGACTTAATTAATATTTACCTTTACTTCAAGTCACTTTTTTTAAACTTCAACAAATCTGGACTTGTCCAAATTGATCACATCCACGAAATAACCCATCTGATACGCTGGATATACATATTGCCGAGACACCTTAATAAGCATACAACTGATGAAAGAAAAGTGTATGCCTTTCATTTACTATCTAATTCCAGAATCTTGTCACAGGCTACCAGAGTTACATGGGCCAAGCTTTGGCAAACTCACTGTTGTTTATCAGCCCTCTCCTTGTACAGAAAGAGAAAGCGTCATGGGGAGGGGTAGTTGGCTCACAGGGCCCCAGAATCCACTAGCAAATAAGGTCAGGGGAGGTATAAGGTGGTCACAGTCATGATGTGCTAGAAACTTCATACTGTCCTTTCTTCCCAGCACGGGGTGAGACTATTTCTTTCCCCACAAGTGAACTCGGCTGTGAGAATCTAGGCAGGTGGGCAGTAGGCCTTGTGCAGAATGTGGCCCCAGGATGGGGTGTCCTAATGGAGGGCTGCAGGGCATGGTCAAGGACCAGGGTCCAAGGCAGCATCTTTTCTCAGCATTCTGTCTGAGGCCTCTGGTTTATATCTGCCCCTTGCACCAGGCTCCCTCAGGCCAGAGTCGGTAGGGGCTAGAGCATAATCCCCTCTCTGGTTAGATTTGAAAGCACAGAATGGCCCCTTCCCCTCCCCCTCCCCCCCAGCTCCTGTGGCTACAGGTGCCCATTCTGGGCCTGAGTGTCCCCAGGTGTGCCTTGAGGGGTAGAGTCTGATGACCCCAGAGGCCTTGCCTTGTGGTTCTTGGACCTCACTGAGCCCCTCTGTCTTTCCCCACTCTGCCCGCAGGTTGGAGACCCTGACTGGGCCCCCAGCCCGGTGCCCCTCCCGCTGAGAACAGGATGTGGGTGTCAGGAGGTGAAGGAGAGTGTGGGGTCGGGGTGGGGAGTGGCCTCGGGACTGACTTCCTGAAGCCTGATCGGTTTACCACAGTCAGTTGGGCCCAGGACCGCACAGCTGTGAGTTATAAATGTCCCTGTCAGAGCCCAGGCCGAGAGGCCCCACTCTGGCGGAGGGGCTAGGGTCCACAGTGCCCACTCCTCCAGGGGCCTCCCCAGGTGAGGGCCCCATCCTCCAGGAGGCCCTCCACAAGCGTCCAACCCTCATGACCTCTGGGCTCTCTCGACTCCTGTCTCGACAATGCCTGATGCGACAGGGTCTAATCCCACCTCCCCCTGCCCACTCTTTGCCCTTCCAGGTGTAAATCTTGTGGTTCCAGCTACCTCGAGAGCTCTCAGAGGGCAGGGACCAGCCTGGGCCTCTACCCAGCACAAAACCTGGGACTGGGCACACAGCCAGCCATCCTGGTGACAACCTCAGGGGCAACTGTTCCAACTCAGCAACCTGCTTCCCACGACCCCAACCGCCCCTTGTGCCTGCCCACTGGGACCCACACAGCGCAGAAGAAGGGGTGGGGGGCGGAGAGAGGACTGGGCTCTGGCCTGCAGTGCAGGGGCACTTGGCCCACAGGCACAGGGCTCTGTGCCCTGCACGTCCAGGGGCTCCTCGAGGGTCCCATTCTCCCTGCTTGCTCTCCTTAGGGCTCCCTCAACCTGGCGCGTGCAGTGTGGCTCCCAGTCTGGGGTGCTCAGGGCCGAGCCTACAGGGTGAGAAGGTGGGTCCCTCCAGCCCCGAGGCCTGGGCCATCTACCTGCTGGGGCCACAAGGTGGGCCACACAGGGCTGGGCCTCAGAAATGTAGTAAAGGCAACAGGAATAAGTAGGGGGCGGTCCAGGCTCGCAGGGCTTGAAGCGTATACTATTTTGGGGTCCTCTTTAGAAATATATATAGAACTACAAATACATATTTAAAATGAGAAAAGAAACACCAGCACATTCCTAGAGCCTCAGGAGTCCGGGCCCTTCTAAACCATTTACCAGAGATGCTCACACAGAAATGTTCCCGACAGCAACCTGCTGCCCCGCCCCACCTAGAACACTCCACAGCTACCCGCAAAACTCCCACTTCCACCGGGGCGGTGCGGGGTGGGGCCCGGAGGCTGGAGCTTCATGAGTTCCCGGTGAGTCTGCTTCTGATCAATAACGGTGATGAACTGCCAATGACCATAATACCGAACATTAATGGACCTTCTTTATCGGGTACCATTCTAAGTACTCTATGTGAATTAACTCATTTAATCTCACCACAACCTATAAGGTAGGGACTCTACCTGTCTTTAACAGATGAGGCCACAGCCACAGCAAGGTTCAGAAACCAGCCCGAGGTCACACAGGTAGGATGTGAACCCTGACAGCCTGGCATGGGTACAGGTATGAGCCCTCAATCACTGCACTCGGGTCCTGCTCTGGACTTTTCTCTGACTCAGAGGCTTGGACAGCGGCGGCGACCAAGGGTGGATGCTGCATGAAGTCCCCTCTGATTAAACCACTCATTCATTCCGCACAAATCCTTACCAGTGCCAGTGCCAACATCTTGACGGTAAACAGAGGCCCCCTACTTCCTCGCTCTGCTCAGGGCACGCTGGGGTCCTCTCTATGGGCAGAAGTGGGCACCCCATTGACTTCCTGGGGCTGGGGAGGTGAGGTGTCCTAGAGATGGGTTGGGCCCACCCAAAGAGACCCCCCAGTCAGGGGTGAGGAGCGGGGTTTGCCGAAGGTCACGCAGCATGCTGCCCAGCTCCCTCATTTTATAGACACGAGAAACATGGCTTCCCCAGGGCCACCCAGGGAGCGGTGACCCCATGTGAGGCCTAAGGCCGGTCTCTGCAGGGGTGGGGCAGGTCGCCAGCAGCCCCAGGGGTGGTCAAGGCCCGGTGCTGGTGGGACAGGCTGGTCAGGCTGTCCAGAGGGAGGACACAACACTGCCTTTTGGCCTCCTTGGAGCAGGCCCTTTGTTTTCTCTCTCTGTTTTCCAACTGCCCGCGCCCCCCAGCCTTCCCGGCTTCCCCTGATTGTGTGCAGGGTGATAAAAGGGCAGATGAGCAGGAGATCTCTGACAGCGGTCACCTCCCAGAGACACTGTGGCGGCGGCGGGTGGCTAAGGGGGGGGCCCCGGGCGGGTGACCGGGCTCACCCCCGGCTGTGCAGAGCGCTTCTCTGAGGGACGCTTGACCCCCAGAACACTTTCAGCAGCCCTGGGAGGAAAACACCACCACCCCCTGTTTTACAGAGGGTGAGACCGAGGCTCCAGAGAGCAGTGGCCAGGACTGGGTCCCTGGTCTCTGAGATTTCCAACGGGCCGTGCCAACCGTGGTCCTGACGTCTCTGGCCACTCACGGGACACCGGGCCTCGTCAGGCATTCCGCCTTTGTATCGAGAACGGGCCATTTTCAGACTGTCCAGGAAGAAAGAGAGCAGAAGGTCAGGCTGGTCACTCTGTGCGGGATGGAGCAGAGTCTGACTTCCCGCCTCCCTGAAACAGAGTCCTTTTAGACTGCTTCTGGGGGCAGATGATTCCTCTGTGGTGGGCGAGTTCCTAAGGACAGCAGTGGGAGGGGTGTGATCCAGGGGTGCTGTTAGCCTGGGTGTGGGATGGGGCAGTGGTGGCCTGCAGGCCAGGACCGGCCAACCCTGACCTCAGGTCCCCACCGTCGGCCCTGGCCTCAACCACCGGGTGTTCTCAGACCCTCCTTGAGCATGTCCCCAACTTCAGTTACTAGATAGTTTAAGCCACATCCGTGTTCCATCTAAATTATTTTTGTATTGTTATTGAAATCACTTTCTTTTTACATACCCTCATTCAAAGCAATACTGTGTGAAATCATGGGTTCGCTATATTAATTATATTTTTTCTAATTCCCATAAAGATAAATACATAACATTAAGATCTGAAATTCAGACACTCACACAGAGCTTGAGGCCCGAAGGCTGTGTCCAGGCAGGACCTGGGGAAGCTGACCAAGACTTGGGGGTCAAGCCTCTGGAGGTGGGCTCAGGGGGCTGTGGGAGCAGAGCCCTGTGCTGGATGGGGAAGTGGGAGGAGGTGTAAGTTTCCAGAAGGGTACACAAAAGGTTTGGTTTAGCAATCAGCTCAGACCAGACTACATCTTCTCTCTGTTGGGGCTGGAGTTTGGTCCAGATATTTCTCGGCTGCTGATAAAGCCAACTCCTTGCAAATTCCTC